ACAAACAAACAAACAACAGAATGTCATAGAAAACTAAATTCTTTTCAATGGTTCATAAGTATTTTCATTGTATGGTTATTTGAAGACATCAAAATGTTGACCTTACTGATCATCTTTAATTTCTCAGTTTTTTTAAAATATCAAACTAGAAATTTGCCAGTAGGGCCTGTGAAAAAGTGTTTGACACGTAATCATGGAATCATCAGAACCATATTTGATTATTTTTGGATTTAATTTTTTCTTCTATACTTGTCCGTAGGATTATATCAGGTTGGGAGCAGAGTCATTGGAGTGATTATGTAAATTGTTCCAGAAGACAAATTTTAGGAAAGCATCCCATTTTCCAAATATTCACTCCACATACTAATATATTGATGTTCAAATTCCAAATATTTGAAAAGAACATATTGGTCTTAATGGTTTTAACACACTAGTTAACCCTGATATTTGGCTGGTAGTGAACCTGCTCAGTCTCTACATTATACGGACCTGGAGCTGCTGTCAAACTGTAATTTCTTGCTTTTTAATAAATGTCACAGTCAGTATGTGTGGGATGATTCAACTGCAGCCAAGTCAGAGGCTTCTGCTTGAAGTCAGCGCGTTTGCTGCCATCTAGCGGCGGATCAGTGTCACGTTACATCTCCAAGGAGGAGGAAACAAAAAAAACATGCCATTCCATCGCACCTGACAAGTCACATCGACATATTCAGTCTGTGTTGATCAGCTGCTGATTGTGTTTCTCACACTGTGGCTTTCTGCTGATTTGCTGACTGACTGATCGGGAGAAGAGCGAAAGAGAAAGAGAGACAGAGAGAGAGGGAGAGAGAGAAAGAAGGTGGCGGCTGTAAAAGATAAATGTTGTGACATCAGCAACAGGTAGAGTCGCTTCCACATACCTGCGCCTGCAAACAACACCACATTGTTCCTGGAGGAGATACGGAAGTTGCCTGCCGCCTGCTGAGGAGCCTCATGTTGGTTTCTACCTGTTCGTGTCGCTGAGCTGACTGAGAGGATCTGGAGCCTTCTGGTGATCCGGGAAGTCTCTGCTGCTGCTGCTGCTGCTGCTGCTGCTGCATTCAGCTCACTCATCATGCCCGTCCACAGGAGGCAGGTAGGTGATCTGATCCACACACACACACTAATGCTGTGATTACACCGACACAGAAAGGAGCTGTAGCACTTTGACAGCTCCTACCAAAAGGCCTGCTATTGTATATTAAAAAACACCCTCCAGCTCATGTCACTTGTCAGCCTCAACAGCTCTGAGCTTCTAGAAAACAGATTACACAAACCTTGCCACATATGAATAATGCTTTAATCTGTGTTGAAGTTTGAATGGGATGACTGGTGTCATAATGCTGCATTTTCAGGTGTGCCACACCTTCACTGTTTTGGTATTAGAACTGCTCTGTGAGTGAATAGCACAGATTGGCATGATGGTGAGAGCGTATTTGCATACCATGCAGCTCAGTCAGCTTAGATTCAGTCCTCCTCTGGTGAGTCAGGATCACCTCGGGTTTTTCTCAGCGCTGTGGCATTCGCAGACACACCCCCAGGTTATAGTTAGACGGGATTGTTTAGTACAGTAGGTGATGACCTTTCAGCATATTATCACATATCAGTGGGCTCGTGAAGGATAATTATCCCCTAAAATAAAATCATTATCACACACTTTCCATTTCATTTTAAAGCCATGTGTTTTATTGTTTGTTTGTTAGTTACATCTGTGTGGGTGATAATCGCCTTGTAACATTTTTTTTTTTACTGTTTTTGTGGTGAAGCCCAGTATTGAACTGCTGGAGTTCATGGGAGTCGTGAGAGAGAACGGCAATGAACAGGCATCACTTCCTCCAGTGGTAAGATCATTTAAGAATTAGTTCATAGGTCACCGAAACGCCTGACCCATACCGCATCTGGAAGTCTGACTTTGGGCTTTTTTTTTTGTCACGCAGCACACTCCACTATCATATGACTATGTCCTGGTCGCAAAAACAATCGACGACCAGGAGAGAACAGCTTTCAAGAAGCAAATCGAATACATCGATGAGCTGAAAAAAAAGAACTTCAAAGTCACAGTAAGTCTCCAGTAATAAACAAAGTGCCCCGTCACACGGCTCATTCATTCATTCTTGTCTGAATTTAACCCCCTTCAGAAAATCATAGATGACGACCTCGTCTTCTATGGGATTCAAGCCCCTAAAGAAATATTTGAGAAGTACAGGTATCTGCTCAAAGTGTCTGACGCCTGTAACTGGAGCTCCGATCAGAACATTGTTCCTCTCAGTACGAGGTAAACTATGTCACCGCTGCTATTTTTGGCATTTTAAACAATCACTGACGCTATTTAAAGAATCTGTGGTTGTTGTTCTCATGCCAGTTATCTGTAAACAAAAATGTTGAGAACAATTTCAAAGGATCCAGAATTCATTACAGTTTTCCAGCACAAACTACAAGTGATACTTGTGCTTGTTTCAGGATAAGGATTGTCCACTTCATCTTAAATCACACCCCTATCCGCACTGGAGGTGAGAAAGAATCATTTAAAATCTAGATCCTTCTTATTTAATCGAGCGTCTAGTTTTTAATCCTGTTACCTGTTCATCTTCACAGAGGGTCTACGGGATCTCATGAAGATGAGGGTGTTTGAAGCAAGGTTCTGCTTACATGAGGTAAAAACCCTTGTCCTTGTACCTGTACATGGGTATAATATCCTTTGTGGGTATGATATTGTCACATCGGATGTTATGATAAGCAGAGTTTGGACAGGAGCTGGAAGTACAATTAATCTGCACCAAAGCTTTTTATAAACTTTTCTTCAGAAACTGTTTGAGTGATAACAGTGGACGTGACCTAAGTCGTCCTTGTGGGAGACAGTATCACTCATTTCTTTCGGTCAAATATGAACGATCAGATAAATCAGTATCTGCCATTGTTTTTTTTTCCCACACATTCTTGCACTAAAGATAGCAATGCTAGTGTTAACTGATAAATGCTTTTCACGTTGTTAAGTGTTTTCTTTTCTAAAATGCTTCCACTACCATGAAGTGAAACTTGGCTTCAGTCTCCCACAACAATACACTGGTGCCAACGAAGTATTTGTTCAAATAGCAGCTGTGCGGGTCATATTAATGCAATGAGTCATCCAATGATGGGAGTAAGTGGGCATGTGTGAGAGCTTACGCTGATACATATGTGAACATGTAATCATGTACGTGTTTGCTTACAGCCTCATACAATTAACTGAAGTGTCCCTGTTATTTAAATGTGACTGATTGCTATTATAATGGGAGGCAGCATTGATTTTTCATTCTCTTAATGGTGTAAAGCAAACAGCAAAATCTGTTTTAAAAAAAAAAAAGCCAGCAGATGATGTATTTGAACTGTATGCTTCTGTTCTCAGTCTAACTGTATGTTGCGTTAACCAGTTTGAACAAAGCTCCTATTCATGTCGGTAATTTCTTTTGATTTTGTGTGCTTGGGCTTTCAGAAAAAGAAACAGAGAGAGCTGAAGGAGAGCTGGGCACGATGGACAGCCTGTCTCCAAGGGCAACCCATAACTGCTGTCAGGTTTGGACTGCAACACAACAACCTATTCATTATTCTGCTTTTTATACAGTTGCAGCTATGGCAGCGCTATTGTTGTGAAAACAAGACAACGGCACACATGTCACCAACATGATGCAGTTTGGATTCACTATTTCAAATTCTGTCCAGTACTTAATGCAGGTGTTTAGTATACTGAGAACACAATGCAAAAAATATACAGAATGAATCGAGCGAGTGCATCATCTATATTGCATAATTGTGAATAAGGCTGCAGAGATATAATCAAAGATAAATATTTTATACCTTTATTGTAGCTCATATTCAGTCATTCATGCAGATCACTGTGATAAGATGCAGCTTTTTCACAATCGCTCCAGCACTTGCTGCCGTGCATTTCCAGTGCAGTTGTTTTAAATGCCACTAGGTCAGAACACATGCAGATGAAAACAAGACTCTATACCTCAAGAGTCTACAGCCACTTTAGCAGGTAATTGAGGCTTCGCTGCGTGGCAACACTTAAAGCTAAATGCTAATGTCAGCTGGTATGCTCACTAGTGACATGCTGAGGTTTAGCAAGATCACAGTTGTGTAGTTCAGTGTGTTTTGCTGACGCTTTCTCACAGTAAACACAAACAAAAGCTGGGGCTGATGGGAACATCGCTAGTTTAGCAGGTATTTGGTCATAAATCACTAAGACTTGATGAAAAGTAAAGAGATCATCAAAGTAAAGTCAGTAGCATTTGTCATCTGGGGAACATGAATGTCAAATAGAAATATTTCCCAAATGTTTGAAGTGGAGGACCTACTACATGTTGTATTGTGTTCATTCAATCAGTTGTGTGATATATATATTATTTGTAGTGTAAAGCTCATACATAAAGTACATGTGAGGGTTGATCAAAAAGTTGCAGGACTGTGTATGTGCAACATGTGTGAGCAGCAACTGCTGTGCTTCAGCAACTTGTGTCACACTCGTTTTTTTAATATGTAAAGCACCATCTGTGATGAGCACTGATTCCCGTAAATTGTGTTAAAATGCAACCCTTTCCCTTGAATTTCATTTTCAGGAAGAGGAATGAGTCACAGAGAGCAAAATCAAGTGAGAAAGCCAGTTGTGGAGTGACAATTGTATTGTGTTGTTTGCCAAAAATCCGGTTGTGATCGCCAGGCCTTGACCAGGCACACAGGTCATTGGTGCACCCACATACATTACATACGTTCGTTCTACAGTTCGGATCATTTGAATGTTCTCCCTCAGACATGTCAAGTTGCTAAGGTATAACTGTGCCATCGCAGTTTGACCCTGAGGGACTTATTCCTGGTGCACGACCACATGCATGTTGAAGAAAACAGTGAGCATTACCTGGTGCTCCTGACGTGCCTTGTCTGGTTTTGGAGACTGCTGATGCTTAACTGTAAAACTGCAATTTCTTCTCTCGGTGGTAGCTGCAGACCCACCTCTCATCTCCAGTGATGATCCTCCACGTGAGGGTTGGATCATCCAGGCTGCTGACTCACACATAATGTTTGCTCTTAGCTCCAGTTTAAATACCTTGAAGCAATCACAAATGCACACCTAAGAGTGGTGACAAAAACATGTGTTGGCACGGTGTAATGTGACATCACACCCTATGACTGGTAGTGCTCACACATGTTCACTATGATCTCATGTAACATGCACAGTTGTGGAACTTTTTGATCAACCCTCATATATGCAGTAAAGTAAATCCGTTTTGCTATTAGAAAGACATTTTGCAGTAGTTATGATTTTTATACGGGAATGATAAATGCCTAGCTCTCCCTCTGAATTCCATTGTGCTCTCTGTCTTACCAAGTACAGTTGAAACCAGAAGTTTACATACGCTGTATAAAGAGACATAAAGCTTTTTTTCCCCCACTGTCTGACATTAAATCAGTCTAAGCATTTCCTGTTTTAGGTCAGTCAGGATTACCAGAATTATTTATATTTGCTAAATGCCAGAATAATGAGAGGGAGAATTTTTTATTTCTTTCTTCAAAGTCAGACGTTTACATACACTTAGATTACTATACCTTCAAACTATTTGGGAAAGCCCAAATGATGATGTCATGGATTTTAAAGCTTTTGATAGGTTAATTAGTAGTTAATAAGTTAAGATTTGAGTTAATTGGAGGCACACCTGTGGATGTGTTTTAAGCCACACCTCAAACACTCTGCTTCCTCTTGTGATAACATGAGAAAATCTAAAGAAATCAGCCAAGATATCAGGAAGAGAATGGTGGACTTCCACAAGTCTGGTTCATCCTTGGGTACAATTTACAGATGCCTGAAGGTTCCACGTTTATCTGTTCAAACAATTATACGCAAGTATAAACACCATGGGAATGTCCAGCCATCATACCGCTGAGGAAGGAGACGGGTTCTGTGTCCCAGAGATGAAGTGTTCTGGTGTGAAATGTGCGTATCAACCCCAGAACACAAGCAAAAGACCTTTGTGAAGATGCTGCTGAAGCTGGTCAGAGAGAGTCATTATCCACAGTGAAACCAGTGCTGTACCGACATGGACTGAAAGTATACTCAGAGAGGAAGAAGACATTACTCCAAAAGCAACATAAAAAAAACAGATTACAATTTACAAATGCACACAGGGACAAAGACCTTCATTTTTGGAGACATGTCCTGTGGTCTGATGAAACTAAAACTGAACTGTTTGGCCATAATGACCATCGTTACATTTGGAGGAAAAAGGGGGAAGCTTGCAAGTCTGAGAACACCATCCCAACTGTGAAGTACGGGGGTGGCAGCATCATGTTGTGGGGGTGTTTTGCTGCAGGAGGGACTGGTGCACTTCACAAAATAGATGCATCATGAGGAAAGAACATTGTGTGGAAATATTGAAGCAACATCTCAAGATATCAGCCAGGAAGTTAAAGCTTGGGGGCAAATGGGTCTTCCAAATGCACAATGACTCTAAGCATGCTGCCAGATTAATTACAAAGTGGCTTCAGGACAACAAAGTCAATGTTTTGGAGTGGCCATCACAGAGCCCTGATCTCAGTCCTGTAGAAAATGTATGGGCAAAGCTAAATAGACGTGTGTGAGCAAGGAGGCCAACAGACCTGACTCAGTTCCACCAGTTCTGTCAGGAGGAATGGGCCAAAATTCAGCAAACTATTGTGAGAAGCTTGTGGAAGGAAACCGAAAATGTTTGACCCAAGTCATACAGTTTAAAGGCAATGCTACCAGATACTAAGGAAATGTATGTAAACTTCTGACTTTGAAGAAAGTAATAAGAAATTCTTTTCTATTCTCTCATTATTCTGGCATTTAGCAAATAGAAATAATTCTGGTAATCCTAACTGACCTAAAACAGGAAAAGTTTACTCTGACTTAATGTGATACAGTGAGGAAAAAAAAAGATTGTGTGTTTTTATACAGTTTATGTAAACCTCTGATTTCAACTCCTTGCACCAGGAACTACTTTGGGGAGAAGGTGGCCTTGTACTACCTGTGGCTGGGCTGGTACACGTATCTCCTCATCCCGCCTGCTCTCATAGGGATCGTTGTCTTCCTCTATGGCCTTTCTTTCTTCAGCAGCTCACCACTCATGTAAGTTTTTCCACAAGTTTCTGACAGCATCCGTGACAACAGAGCATCTCCTTTGTAATAACTCCTCCTACTGTCTTACAGAAAGGAGGTTTGTGAGGCGGACACAGTCATGTGTCCACTTTGTGACAAGGGTTGCAAAGTGTGGCGGCTTTCAGACACCTGCACATACGCCAAGGTACATGAGTGTGTTTGCTGTTAAATAGCTGAGTGATCTGGTGCTGGTGGTGCTCACTGCTGCTCTTTTCTCTCTACAGGTGAGCCTGCTGTTTGACAATAACGGCACAGTGCTGTTTGCGATGTTCATGGCAGTGTGGGGTGAGCTTGTTAACACTCAGATCCACATTTGAGATAGATTTGTGTGATTTATCATAGTCATGCTTCACAGTCATTTAAACTCATGCGAACGGCACGTTTAATAACTGAAAATCAGGCTGCAGAGCTCCTCTCCAATACTGTTGTGTATTTGGCGAAACATTTTGGCTGTACAAGACACCTTGTACAAACAAATCTTTTATCTGCCTCAAATTTATTTTATCCAAGTGCCAGTTTTTATGGTCACTGAGACGTGCACTGCCAAAGAGATGCCACATCGCTGAGAGAACCTACTCCTCCTGGCTGCTCACATCTTAATCAGCCCAGGCCATCTGGCCGTGGGGGTGGTCCATCAGCCATCTATAAGAACATATAAATGCTTTTCACTGCCTTATGCCAATTTTGTGCTTTCTATATTTTTGGATGTTAAAATGTTTACAATTTGTTATCAGACCTCTTCTAATATCAAAATCATACTGTGTGTTGAAAAGAAGGATTTTGGCAATGACCGTTTACTTGAGCAAAGTTTGTCGTCACAGCTGTAGGACGAGAACAGTTAACTTGAGGAGCCACTGCTGAGAGGAAGTATTTCAGGAAGGGAAACAGAAAGAGAGAGGATCAAGGAAAGAGGGACGTTATCATTGGAGGACGGAATGCATCCAACTGAATGGAAGTCCCCCTACAAGACCAACACAAAAACTTTTTGAAAACATAAAATAATTCCCTACAATTTTGGATTAAACAAACCTAAAAAAAAAAAAATCAACAATGGCTTACATAGCTTATATAATACAGTTTCCCATCAAAGTAGCAGTTTACAGTCAGACCACAGAAGGAGGGAACGCTTCTTGAGTTTTCTGCTGCCAGACAAATTTGTATTTTTAACTAAAGTCTAACCCACACTCTTGCAAAAGTTCTCTTACTTCCCAAAACGCAACTCTCATCGTTTACTGTAAGTTCATGTCTAAGCTGTTTCGACACTGACAGCTGTGTGTAATTGTCTGGATAGTGGTCAAATAGGGAAAATCACCATTAAATGAAAAGCATGTCAGCTTTGAGTAAAAGATTAATTTAAAACATCTAGAAAAAAAAAAAGTACCACAATGTACTTGTTTGTTAACTGTTACTATTACTGAGTGCCTATATTGTTGCAGAAAATGCTTTATCACCTCATATAAATTCCTTTTTATTTCTTACAGCGACACTGTTCCTGGAGTTCTGGAAGAGACATCGGGCTTCCTACGTGTGCGAATGGAAAGTGTCTGATTGGTGTGAGGAGGAGGTACCATCAGTCTTATACATTACATCAGATTTCATTAATCCTAACACAGTGCTCATTTTTAATGCTGGATTTTTTTGTTTTTCCTCTTTTAAATTCAATCACAGGAGGAACTGATCCTGGAAATTGTGAACAATGTCAACTGTGAACCAAAAGAGTTTAGGCACTCCTATCTGCGCAGCACTCTGGTCCTGATCTGTGTCACAGTGATGGTGGGACATCTGTCTTTTTTTACTGTCTTTGCCTAAATGTGTTTAACCCTTTGACCTTTATTTCCTTTTTACTAGCTTGTAAGTTTATTTTTGTTGGATTCTTGTAGTGAAATCATTATGCAGCACATATTTACATATTGTAAAAGTATAGCAAAAGGCGAAGTAGACAAAAACTAAAGCTAAAAAAACAAGTGTTGCTACTGCTGCTGCTATTGTTGCTGCTCTGGAACTGGAAAAAAAAAAGCAGGGAATTTGATACTAAACTTGAAGCTGATGATGATCAAAGTTCAGTGAAAGAACTGTTGCTCAGCCTGTACTTGGTCCTGTGAATGTTCAGAGGTTAAAGAGATTGTGTTACATCTTCAGAATTCAGGCTAAAATAAGTATCAGGTTGAAGTGGTGTAAGTTTCAGGCATGACGCTGAAGGCATTCGGCTTAGAATGAAGTGTTGCAATCAGACGTCATTAATGGCAGAAGTATAGTGAGTGTCTTTGTGTTTCCACAGATACTGGTGATCATCGGCCTCACACATGCCTTGGTGGTGTTCCGGGTGATCGCGGCAGGGTTTCTGGCTAAAGAATCGTGGGAGTTCCTGAGCAACCACTCCAACACCGGAGCAATGATGCTGGGGGCAGTAATGCATTACCTCATCATTACTGTCATGACACGAGTACGAACATATCTCTAAAAGTGTGTCTCTGGCTCCTTTTAGCAATATCTTCCCTCACACTGATCACGTGTTTGTCTTTGCAGGTCAACAGGATAGTGGCCATGAAGCTCTGTGGAATAGGTACCTGTTTTTTTTTTAGTTGTTATTTTCCATTTTTTGTTTTTAGTTTTACGTTTTTTGTAGAAATGCTGTTGTCATGATTACAGCTATAGGTAGGCAGAAGCAGGTCATCAGACAGGAGGCAGGTCACACACACAGATAGCAGACAGATAACAGGTTCATGCTGGAACATTCAAGGAGACTAAAGTTGCCCATTGTGACCCCAAATCAGTGTTACAGACAAACAGACCTCAGTGTACATTTTTGATAAGGTCTCCATTGCTCAGAGCAATACTGGCATCTGCTCAACAGCTGCACTCTGCTTATAAGTAAATTTGGCATGCATTCTTGGCCCACAAATAGTTGTTAAAAACAAACAAACAAAAAAAAGAGCTGCTTCAAACAAATGTACACAAACACACTGATTTATTACACAGTTTAAAGGCTGACTCCATAACAGATTTCTGTGCTTTCGGTGGACATTGGAACTGGGACAACATATATGAACAGTTGTAAAGGTGTATGAGAGGTCAGGTGATAATCTAGATGCAATATAAAAGGAAAGAAAAAATAGTCTGAGGCCTGGGATCGCCTTAGTAACCTAACTGGCATCTTTCACAACAAATAATTTGAATTGTCAAACGCCTAATTATAACAGTTAATGATTATGGGTCTAGTCTGCCTGATATCTCTGGACAACTCTGACAACTCTGGAACTGGGTCATGTAATTAAAATGCAGCTATCATTAAGATAATTGATTACACCTTTACTTTTCCTTTGATTACATCTCAGTTGACTGCGTGACAAAGGTTTATTGAGTAATGGGTTAGGGCCTCAAATACAGCCATTATGTCAAGTTGACTGGAGTTCATGGAAACTCACCCATTTGCGACTGATGATCAAATATAACATTAGATTTTACCACCGAAACATCTAGTATTGATAAAAACCAAACATAGGATATTTAAGATAAGTTTGATGTTAATTTAGGTAATAACATACAATAAATTACATTATATATTATGTATGTGTAAGGTATATAACTGAATATATATAAATATGATCATGCCAGTATGTCATTTCCATAAATGTGTGAGATTGTGCCATCTATTGGCCACACAGTGAAATGCAGGCATACTGACACACACTGGAAACTGCTGCAGAAACTGTTCATGATAGACCTTATGGAATGGACTCATAGCAGAAGGTTCAAGACTTGCTTCTAATTTAGAGGAATTGAGTAGTTGAATTTTCGCTTCCCAGTTCATTTCAACCTGTTTGTTTTTACCAGAGAAAACCAGATCATTTGCTACCACAGAGAAGAGCTTCACTGTCAAGATGTTCACCTTCCAGTTCTTCACCTATTTCTCCTCACTCTTCTATGTGGCCTTTTTTCTTGGCAGGTAAGAACTTGTGAAAACGTTTGGCGTAAAAGACTTATTGTCTTCTACTGAAGCTTGTCTGACTAATCATGGCTTCTTTCTGCAATGTACCTGACAGGATAAATGGCCATCCTGGTGATTATGTACGGATTGCAGGGAAGTGGAGGCTTGAGGAAGTGAGCAAACAAACTGTGTCCAGTTTAGGACAGCGAAACAGTTTTTTTTGCATTGTCACTTACATTTTCGATGCAAAATATCTAACTTAAATGTAAACACGTGCCTCTGTTCTGTGCAGTGCCACCCTAGTGGATGTCTCACTGACCTGTTCATCCAAATGACTATAATAATGGTGCTAAAGCAAACCATCAGCAATGTCTTTGAGTTTACTGGCCCGTAAGTATGAGTTAGTTTGTTTAATAATATTCTGCATGTACAATGTACAGTATAATTTTTCAAACTTGGTCCTGTGCTGAAAACATCTGTCTTTTGTTTTCCTCAGCTGGCTCTGCAGGTTTTTAAAGAGAAGAAGAACCCAGAAGCTGCAGAGGAAATGTGCCCACTGCTACCTGAAAGACGACTCAGAGGTCAAAAATGGATCTGAACTCTGCGACAACTGCAAGCTTCGAGACTGGCACAGCAACTACCGCCTCAATGATGTTGATTCTTTCAGCCTGTTCAGTGAGTTTCTGGAAATGGGTATGTATTCTGCTACGCCGTAACAGAAAATACACCAAATTAATGTTGGAGTAGTTTTGGTAAGTGACATTTTTCTTTACTCTCTCCGTAGTGATCCAGTTCAGCTTCACCACCATATTTGTGGCAGCGTTTCCTCTCGCTCCTCTGCTGGCCCTCATTAATAATGTCTTTGAGATACGCTTGGATGCCATTAAGATGGTCACTCTGGAGCGCAGAATGGTTCCCAAGAAAACCAACGATATTGGTGAGGCCCGCTTGTGAACCCTAATTTGTTTACTCCTTGTGATGCTAGTGTGACAGAAAAAAGGCCTGTAGCTATTTGTAGTTGTTTACATGACATCGCTGTTGCTTCTCCTCAGGTGTGTGGATCGACATTTTGGAGGCTGTTGGTGTCTTGGCTGTCATTGCAAACGGGCTGGTCATTGGTGTATCCTCGGACTTCATCCCTCGTCTGGTGTATCGTTACCGCTATGGGCCATGTGCCAACGGGACAGTAGCAGATATTGAGTGAGAATGCACATTCCTGTAGAAAGTGTTTCAATTTTCCATTACTGGGGCCACACTCCCTTTAAATATATTCCTCTCCTTTTCTAGCTGCATGGTCGGCTACATCAACAACACTCTCTCGATCGCACGAATGGATGGCAAGAACAATACATTTTCATCCAACCAGATGATCACTTCGACTGGTTTAAATGTCACTCACTGCAGGTTTGTCCTGTTATTACCATAATTTTCTTAAACAGCTATCGCAATTTGCATGATTCTTACTTTTAGGTTATAGCAAACCAAAGGATGTAATCCAAAGCACTGAGAGTTTTGCTTTCATTGTCAGTAACTGTTTATACAGATGTTCTGTCATTATCTTGGTAGTATTGCAATGTTACCATTGTCAACGATGTGAATTTCTCCACTGTGAGATAAATAAAGGCATATCTTATCTTATCTTATCTTATCTTATTCTTCTAAGCTCATGCAACAGAAGTTGACATTCTTCTAGGCCATCTCTGCAGCTTTTCCCCACAACGAGTCACTGTGTTATTCACATAAAAACCAATTCATAAACATCTTGTCTGTTCCTTTTCACAGCTACAAAGACTACAGGAGCAATGAGGACTATAGCCTAACTCCACAGTTCTGGCTAATTTTAGCTGTGCGCTTCGCATTTGTCATCCTCTTTGAGGTAAGCTGTCAACAAAGCAAGAAAAGCAATTTTTATGGCATCCAGTACAACGTCAACACCCCCCAAAGGTCTTTCCAGCTTTGTGGTATTTAGAAACTCAACATGTCAGAGTTGAATGCGGGGATGAAACTAAATGAGGATGTGTGAATGAAACCTTTCCATTTTTCCACAGAAAAAAGATTACATTCCTAACATTGACCTCTCTGCTTGCAGCATGTTCTCGTCATATGCAAATTCATTGCAGCCTGGTTTGTACCGAGTGCTCCTATGCAAGTGAAGAATGACAGACTCTTTGATAAACTCAAACGACTAAAAGAGGAACTCAGGTGAGTTTTGAATACCATGTGGCCACAAAACAATGCAGCTGGCTGCTGACAAAGTACAGTCTTGCTCATTATGTTTAAAACTGTTATGCAACAGCATGACACAACATGTAGGCTGCCTTTGGTGATTTTGTTTAAATAGATAGGAGTTGTTCCTAAAGGTTTCAGATTATGGCTGACCTTATTGTTTGGACTGGGTGTCAGCCATCATCCACACTAAATCCAGTTCTTTTTCAATGTCACTGTAAATATTAAAGGTCCCATATGATGAAAATCCTAGTGTTAGCATGTTGTGCAGCTAATGTGGCTAACGTTACCATTAAGTGAAAACTCTAATGATGAGGGACATTTAGAGATGGTGGAAACTTTAAGACTGATTAGAAACTAATAAAAAAAGACTGGTTGTGAATTGGGCTGCAAGGTGGTGCAGTTGGTTAGCACTGTTGCCTCACAGCAAGAAGGTCACCAGCTCGCGTCGCGGTGGGGGGCATACGTATACGTGAGCACAGACAGCAGGAGTGAAACAAACAGATGGAAACATGTGATAAGTTTAGGATACACTGAAGCACAGTAGACAACTTTAAATGACAGTAATCCACAACCATCCATCCATCCATTATCTATACACCGCTTCATCCTCACTGGGGTCACGGGAACTAAACAGAACTAAAACCAGGAATTATATAGCTATAGTGAAACTATCTTTGCAGTATTTTGAGCTGAAAAATTGCAAGGCATGTTCTGGAAACATTTGAAACTTTAATTAATTTGATGAACAGGAGACACAGTATTGGACATTTAAATGTTTCTGCCACCAGATTCTTCCAGTCACAACAGGCTGCTGACTCAGCTTTTAGACCCTCTGCAACTCATGGCTTATGTTGCATAAAAATATACCAGTGATTTTCATGGAGGGATATTTTAGTTTAAAAAAAGAGAGAGCACAGGATTGGTTCTTAGTATTAGAATTGGCATCAGAAGAAAAATGTTGAGTTATTGAATTCATCAACTTCATGTATCTTTTTGTGCACATTTCTCATTAGTTTCTGATTTTCAAACAAATATATCAAGTTAAGCTTTACCCTGAGTATCAGTTTTACCACCAAAAAGACAAAGACTTTACTGGTCCAGAGAAAGCCAAAGAGAGGCCTTTTTGTATTTTGAATAAGATGTTGTATTTGATTAGCACAACTGCCTGTAAAAAGTTTGTCTATATTGCTTTAGACATTGTTTTGCTTTCTGAAAAAGGTAAGCTAAGATTAATCCCGATAAACTTCACAGCATCAGAGAAGTTTTCTTTATTTGTTTCATCTGAAGCCGATTTACAGAACATTTTGGCAGGTGCTGTTCAGAGCAGGAGACGCACAGCTGGAACTGAAAACATTATTAATGGCTCAGTAACAACAATTACCTCGATGCGATGCTGCACATGAGTGCTGGTATTAGTCATTTGTCAAATCAAAGCGTGTGACGTGAAAATGTTCTTTCCAGTTTTTGTTTCACTCCACATTTTTCTCCTCACATGGGCACCCTGCAATGACCTCACTGCTTTAGCATTTCCAGATGACTTTTCTTGAGAGACGTCCGTTTAAAAAAAAAATCCTATTCCACACAACTTTAATTGTATGTTTTTTTAAAAACTGTTAAACTGGATCCTAATTGCCTAAATGATCACAAATAAATAACCTGTTGTTATTCCTTGCAGGTCATTTGAAGCATGACACCATCCAGACACCTTGACGGGACACATTTTACCCTGAGAACATAAACCCAGTGTTGCCTTGTGCATTAAAGTGTCCAGACTACACAGTGTTGAGTCAACTTCCAGGCCATTAATCATGTCTCTGAGGAGTTCAGATGGAGGGCTATGGCTCTCTTTTATTGTTTGCCGTCAGAAGTTAAGTGCTGATTATCTGGATTTTCGTCCATAAAATGGACTTTGAAGACAGACTCATTTTTCTTGGACAAAACAAGTGTACAGTAACTGAAACTACTGACCACGTCTTTCATGAGATTATTCTTATTCTATATTAAGAATGCACTGATAGCTTGCTGTTGGATTTCTATATTTGTGAGCCGTATGTGAGTATTTTATTGAAAGCCTACAGATAATTTATATTGCCACTGCAAATAGAGTGCTGATTGTGTTATCATATTGCCTTATATTGTAAAAAAATAAATAGATAAAAGTGCTGTGATGATTGTTGCTTTATTACAGACAGAATCTGATCATGTCTTTTGTAGATCAGACGCAAGAAAGTTTTGCATTATAATATTTTATATTATTGAATAAAAGAGGAAACTTTTGTCCTGATGAATGTCTTTTTACTTGAATTTGTCCGCTGAAATGTGTTGTTGATGACATTTTAAATTTGCAAATTACAGAGTTAAGAGAAAAGGCCTTTTGTGCGGCGTGCATTTTTTGTGTGAGCGACAGTGTTTCACTAATGGCTACATCAGTGTTGTGTTTCAGGCTGCAGCTATTACTGAATACTCAGAGGTCATGTTATCCTCATCTAATGTTTTTGGGACTTTGGAGGTTTTAATGGGGATTTTGCATTCTGTAGTTATATCAAAGCTACACATGGGGGCTCTTTAAAGCAGATTTTAGCAGTTCTTTGTACATGTATTAAACTGGATCTTCCAGACACACAACGTTGTAATAAAACTACTCAATGAGAAATTAATTCCTGACAACATGGAAAAGGTCTTAAGACAAGAGTTTGATCATTTTGACGAAAGATGGAATCTAAAGATTAGGTTAGTATGGTTGAACACTAAACAACTCTTTAATGGGGCACCTAATTTTTAGTTGCAACCATTTAATACTGACTTCAGTTATTAGAAAGTGAGAAACAGAAAAACAAACATTATCAAAGATGACCCATATTTCTATCTGCATTATTATGAAAGCATCAGCTTACAGAATTTTTTTTCTGAATGCTATCCTTCTTTATTATTTTACCAGATTTAGAATGCGTTTGGAAATAAATGTATCAGTTATTAAACAAGTCATTAAGTAAAAGTTATACACAACCCTAAATAGATTGTGATATAACACAGTAAAACACCAAAAGTAGAAAAAAAACAGCTAGTCTATCTAGATAGATAGATAGATAGATAGATAGATAGATAGATAGATAGATAGATTCATTGATTGACAGAATTTACTGATTCATTCATACCTTATCACAAGATATGTGATATGTTTTTCTCTTAATTATCACTAATTGCATTTTATTTTAGAAATGTACACACAAAATTAAAATTGAATTCAACAATTTTATCTATTAAGTAAAAGGAAATATTTGTGAAATTTCAAGATATTTACAAATGTACTTTTATTTTCTTTATGTCATTTTTTAAAATTGGAAATTATATGGTTATTCAGTTATTTTAAAGCGTACATGCAAATTCGGACATTTTTGTAATTTTAGCAATTTTTTGTCGTGTTCTTAAAAATACTGAAATTATATATAAAATAAAAATTGGAACATGCCATTTTTTTCTTTTTTTAGTATTTTTTTAAAATGTATTTTTGTTACAGTAAACAGTTAAAAAAAATTGAATTCTCTCTGTTGGACCTGGAACTTGAGTTTTTATAAAATCCTCTTTAACCCTTGTTGGAACATGAGAAAGAAGTAGTTAATAAATGTTAGTTTCCTTCCTTATAGGTGTATTTCACTGAGTTCTCTGTCTATCTCTCCTCCACCGAGTTTCACTGAAACACAGGTAAAAGCCGGTGTGTGCGTCACGTGATCACGGGGAGCCAATAGCGAGCAGAGTTTCAGGTTCTTCCAGGTGCAGTTGATGAAGGCTGACGTCGGCAGTCAGCGCTGCGGCTCTGTGTAACTAAACTGGAGCAAAGTGACAGTAAAGCTGGTGATGTAGGTCAACAAGTCGTCCTCGGTCAGTTCATTTCTCACCTGAGGCAGGAAGAGGAAAGCTGCGGCTCATGGCTGTGATTTTAGTGGCTTTCATGTTGGTGTGTTCGGGGCTCTGGGACCAGAGTCTCCTGGCAGTCGGTAAGGATGTACTCATTTCACTTTATTATTCAGAGAGGAAAGCTTTGAAGTTGGTTGGGAGCTCCAGTTTTAAACAATGTATTGGGAGCTGAAGGGTTTACTGCGTTTATTTTTTGCCATATTTGTCCAGTGTGAGTCACAGTCAGACTTCCAGGATGCTACAAGCAGACAGACTGTACATAATGATGGCAGGTCAGCGCACATGTGGTCAGAGTGCGCAAGTTCACCGTAGCTGTCACATGCTGTTGCCCGGCAACAGGGCCAGACCCGGACTCTGGACCTGGGTGAGGACAGGGTTTGAGGACAGCTTTAACAGAAAAAAAAAAGGAACAGGCACAGAGATCATTTGCATTTGTGCTGGTCATTGGTTAGTTTTGCTTATGGTCACAATGAGCGCATGCGCCGAATATCTTGCAAAACAGGTCAGGATAGGAAGGGTCATTGTCATTAGTTTGATTTGTTTAGTTCCTCTTTGACAAAGGATCAAGTTAAGTGTGATTGTTTGAATAAGACTCTCTCTGTGCTTTCCACTGAATATGTCCTGAAAAATCTTTTTTCTTTCTTCTTTAAGTCAACAAAGCAGCCATTTGCTGGGCGTCTGTCCGGCTGAAAGAGTAAACAAGTTCACCTTCATGCTCCATTAAACACTTAGTCTTGGCCAAAAGCTAATGCTGAACTCAGTCGTCTGTGGCTTCACAGAGTGTTTACAACTTGTTTGTATCCTCACACTGTAATCAAAGTGTTTTCTTAAAAGGAAAGTAAAACCAGTTGGTGGGAATTTCTGCAATGCATCAATATGAATACTTAACATAACTCAGAGAATACTGCTCCTATTGAGTGGTTTGGGTATGAGCCATATTAACATTAACAATAGTTTTAATGGACAAAAATTTTAAATGCAGCATCTCCTCTGACTTAGAGAAAAGATTAACTCTCATTTCTCTTGAAAGGGTTAGAAAAGAGTAAAATTTAACTAATTGTGCTCAAAAACTTTTTTTTGCTGTTCAGCTGGTGACAAAATATCAACCACTGAATTAGTCCACACAATAGTCAGGTGTGGCTCTGAAGGACAAAGATCAGATAGTCTTACTGGTAACCAGACATTCCTTTGACCAGTGACTATAAAAGGCCGTCTTAAAATGCAGCTTTATGCACAGATGATTAGAGAAAGTGATGCAGTCCTCCAACATGTCCACCAACTTTACCAAATCCTTCATGAAGTCAGCAAGTGTGACCTGATATTGACCTGATTTCTCTTCTGTAACTCCACTTTCTATTTGCCTGTTGTCATTATCAATACAGTGCACACTTGGTTATTTAATGATGTTTATTCTGTTGTAGAGATTCTGTGTGTTGGAAAAAACAACAACATTTTTTTCCAATTTGTAAAAAAAGAATTAATAGAATTTATTCTAATATTACATGCTGCATTTATATTTTTTGTTCAGTATATTTTAATTGCATTCGGGCAGTCTCAGTGGACAGCTGATTCAGTTTTTAGTGCCACAACAGCCCAAGGTCTCATGTTACCTTTAGTAAAATAAACCCACTGATTTCCTTGTAGTGAGGTAATCAGATCTACATTAGGGAAGAGGAAACTCTGGTTTGGCATCAGTACCAGCAAATGCTCTGAGTTGAGGTCTCATAACTGGGACAGAAAGTGCTGGATTGTTGTTAACAAACTGTCTCTAATTGCAGGTCAGACTTGTGTGGATGAGAGCAGGTTTAAGGAGCAGCTGCTGTTTGTGGGGCGGCAGGAGCCTCCTTATCGACTGCAGTGTCCTCTGGAGCCCGTTCAGTCCCAGAGCTCGCCCCAGATCCAGTTGACCTGGCAGAAGGACTGTGAGCAGCTCCGCAACCAGGAGGGGAAGAACTACCTGGAGTTTGCCAACTTGAGCTCGGAGGACCAAGGAAATTACACCTGTGCTCAGCAGGGCAACAGCACTGCCACATACACTGTGCGTCTCACAGTGAAGGGTAAGTATTATTTCTGTGTGTAAGTGTAATGAAGTCACCCCAAGCTTGATACTGTAATTGTGTGGCTCTCGCAGTAAACTATTATTTGTAAACTCAGAGTCTGTGTGGGGGGTTGAAGGGGCTCGTTGAACAGATGCACCTGCAAGGAGGCATTTAGTTTCAGCATGCCTTGTGGTAGCAGCGTCAGGCGCTCCCTGGCAGAGGCACATGAAGGCCTCTATTGTCTGGAACACAGATAACAGTGGTATGTCTTTGCACAGAGGGTCAGTGCTCCAAAGCTCCAGAGTTTAAGCCGAGTGGGAATCCGACCAAACTCTGGAAGAATGTGGGATCCACTGTGAAGCTGAACTGCACTGCTCTCCTCTTTCGGGACCCGTCTGAGGATCGATGTGACACCACGCTGCAGTGGAGTAAAGATGGCCAGCCCCTCACCAACCACACACTGTACTCAGTGAACACATCATCATGGTGAATTGATGCTTTTAACATATCAGATTTCTGTTGTTTTTCACATGACTGCACCCAAGATAGTGTTTGTGAGAGAAAGGTGAGATCAAGTTTTCTGTCCTACGTTTTAAGGTCTCCTGGTGCTGGACAGCTGATGGTGAATAGTGTGCTAGTGATCACTGTCAGAGAGCTGGAGGATTTTGGGGTCTACAGCTGCTCAGTGAGGAACATTTCTACTGACTTCAGCCTGCAGAATTCAGGTAAAACTAAATAGGGCACATGGTGAGTCTTTAATGTTCTCTTGTAATGTCATCGTGTCAAAAATGTAGCCACCAGAAGATAAAAAAGATACCTGACAAAGCAGATAGAAGAAAAAGAAGGACGATGCATGATAGATGCTGTATAAAAATCAAAGAGAAATTTGGACAGGATGAGTTTACGTAAAAACTAATACGGTATCTTTTCAGAGGTAATGTATTAACAGAACATAAACGAACATCATCAGCCAACCCACAGTGAACGGTCAACAATGATAAACAAACTAATGCAGGAAACGGAAGTCTGTACGAAATACAAATGGGCATGAGTGCAGGACAGAGCAAAGATGCAGAGTGCTAATTGCTATTAAGCACATAGAGTGCATCAGAGATAAACAAGTTTTCAAACAGGTTTCCTGAAATGATGAACTGAGGATGATCCTGGCAGTATAGCATCATAAACAATAATATATGACCCAGTGTAGCAGTAGCTTTTACAAGGACCTGCATGCTATAAATGATGAAAGGCTTTGCTCGACTCCTTCCAGAGGTCTTACTGGCTCTTCTAACAGGGTCATTTGGTGCTGGAAACACTTAGAAAGTTCCAC